TGATCAATCTATATAAATAAAATGTAATTGTTCGTTTGTTCAAAACCCGAAAGTTCTTCACCGAATGCTTTGATGTTCCACCCAATGTTCCTTTTGAGCAACACAAGCTACACTAAATATGTTACGATTTCATTTAAATTTTTCCAATTGCATTGACAAATTTAATTTTCTTAGATTTCGATATATTTTCATTTTGATTTAATTATTTTTTGTGGCATTGCATTGGAATTGAGCTGTGTTGTTTACCATACCGTTCATTTCCTGAGTATAGTTTATTTGTTAATTTTTTCATTGCTTTTCATTTCGTTTTTAAATGATCTTTATATTTTTCAGAAATGGGAACATCAGATCATTTGATGTTGTTCCCAATTTTCTGATGGGAACGTCAGATCATTTAGGAGTGCATCGGACAATGTGTTTTGGGAATGGTGGGGAGGACGAGGGGATTGGGGAAGGGGGGGGGGTAATGATGAGGAGGACTGGGAGACAGGGGAAGGTTGTTGGAACCACAGCAACGCGTGGCTGGGTACAGTTAATATATAAATAAAATCTAATTGTTCGTTTTTTCAAAATCGCTAATCTTCGAAAGTTCTTCACCGATTGCTTTGAAACTTTCACTCAATGTTCCATTCGCATTCGAGCGGGTTTCATGTACATACAATATAGATGTCATGTCTGTGATGGAAAAAACATGCTTTTTTGAAAAACTGTTTTTCATGTGAGGGAAATCTTCGTAACCTCTTTACCGAATGTTTTGAAATTTTGACACAACATTCCATTCGGACGCGCGTGCTTTTATGTACCTACTATATAGATTCCACGCCTGTGACAGGTAAAAATATGCTTTAAAAAAAAAGTGCCATCTGTTGCACGTAATGGCAACACACACTATACCATATATGTTACGATTTCATTTCAGTGTTTCAGGTTGCAGTGCTAAATTTAATTTTCATAGATTTCGATTTATTTTCATTTTGATTTAATTATTTTGTGTGACATTGCGATGGAATTGAGCTGTGTTGTTTACCATACCGCTCATTTAATGAGTATAGTTTATTTTTTAATTTTTTCACTTGAGTTTAACCCAAGCAAATGCAACCAACGATAAAAAAGAGGCAGGGAAAAATAGCCCTAAAGGGCATTATTTTTCCTATTCTTCATTACAGTTTTTTTAGACAGATTTGTGAGTGCAACATCGGGCGTTGACATTGGTTGAGATCTTCAACACTGTGCAAGGTTGCAACCTGCTGGAGCCGCAAGCTGTGATGGTTGTCAGCTTAACCGCCAGCATCAGCGCTCGGTTATGTGTTTACCAGCTTGATGCTATCAGCCTGCGGCGCGTGCAGCCCACACCTGCTGTCACACTGTTCTCTTGGGCCGCTGCTGACAGCTGCCGCAGCTGCCGGGGGTATGACGTAGATCTTTACGGTCTTGGACAGCTGCCGCAGCTGCCGGGGTATGACGTAGATCTTTACGGTCTTGGACAGTTGCCGCAGCTGCCGGGGTATGACGTAGATCTTTACGGTCTTGGACAGTTGCCGCAGCTGCCGGGGTATGACGTAGATCTTTACGGTCTTGGACAGTTGCCGCAGCTGCCGGGGTATGACGTAGATCTTTACGGTCTTGGACAGCTTCTGACAGCTGCCGCAGCTGCCGGGGTATGACGTAGATTGTTAACAGCGTCCGTATGCTTCCAAGATCGTGAGTGATTAAGAGTAATGTTGCTACACTCTTGTGGGGTGTAGAGTGAAGGTTGAGGGGTTGCTACACTCTTGTGGGGTGTAGAGTGAAGGTTGAGGGGTTGCTACACTCTTGTGGGGTGTAGAGTGAAGGTTGAGGGGTTGCTACACTCTTGTGGGGTGTAGAGTGAAGGTTGAGGGGTTGCTACACTCTTGTGGGGTGTAGAGTGAAGGTTGAGGGGTTGCTACACTCTTGTGGGGTGTAGAGTGAAGGTTGAGGGGTTGCTACACTCTTGTGGGGTGTAGAGTGAAGGTTGAGGTGTTGCTACACTCTTGTGGGGTGTAGAGTGAAGGTTGAGGTGTTGCTACACTCTTGTGGGGTGTAGAGTGAAGGTTGAGGGGTTGCTACACTCTTGTGGGGTGTAGAGTAAATAATTTAATTATTTATTTAGTTTAGAGCAGTTGGAGTTTGTATATAATTATTGATCCCCCACACCCCCACAGTGTTGGGGTCAATAATCCCCCACACCCCCACAGTGTTGGGGTCAATAATCCCCAACACCCCCACAGTGTTGGGGTCAATAATCCCCAACACCCCCACAGTGTTGGGGTCAATAATTTCCAACACCCCCACAGTGTGGGGTCAATAATCCCCAACACCCCCACAGTGTTGGGGTCAATAATCCCCAACACCCCCACAGTGTTGGGGTCAATAATCCCCAACACCCCCACAGTGTTGGGGTCAATAACCCCCAACACCCCCACAGTGTTTGGGTCAATAATCCCCAACACCCCCACAGTGTTGGGGTCAATAATCCCCAACACCCCCACAGTGTTGGGGTCAATAATCCCCAACACCCCCACAGTGTGGGGTCAATAATCCCCAACACCCCCACAGTGTTGGGGTCAATAATCCCCAACACCCCCACAGTGTTGGGGTCAATAATCCCCAACACCCCCACAGTGTTGGGGTCAATAATCCCCAACACCCCCACAGTGTGGGGTCAATAATCCCCAACACCCCCACAGTGTTGGGGTCAATAATCCCCAACACCCCCACAGTGTTGGGGTCAATAATCCCCAACACCCCCACAGTGTTGGGGTCAATAATCCCCAACACCCCCACAGTGTTGGGGTCAATAATCCCCAACACCCCCACAGTGTTGGGGTCAATAATCCCCAACACTCCCACAGTGTTGGGGTCAATAATCCCCAACACCCCCACAGTGTTGGGGTCAATAATCCCCAACACCCCCACAGTGTTGGGGTCAATAATCCCCAACACCCCCACAGTGTGGGGTCAATAATCCCCAACACCCCCACAGTGTTGGGGTCAATAATCCCCAACACCCCCACAGTGTTGGGGTCAATAATCCCCAACACCCCCACAGTGTTGGGGTCAATAATCCCCAACACCCCCACAGTGTTGGGGTCAATAATCCCCAACACCCCCACAGTGTTGGGGTCAATAATCCCCAACACCCCCACAGTGTGGGGTTATTTGTTATGAATAACATTAGTATAGAGCAGAATTTGTAATAATAAGTTAAATTTAAATTATATATTAATAGGGATTGAGTTAATTACAAGATATAATTTCTCTGCACCATCTGATTTGTGATTAGTAAACATTAACAGTGTTACCTGTTGAGATGACTTTTATATGTATTTATTGATACAAGAGTTGTGAGCGTGTTGTGGAGCCACCAGCCCGCGCAGCGTGTCGGGCTGGTCCTTAATACGCCCAAGAGTTGTGAGAGTGTTGTGCAGCCACCAGCCCGCACAGCGTGTCGGGCTGGTCCTTAATACGCCCAAGAGTTGTGAGCGTGTTGTGGAGCCACCAGCCCGCACAGCGTGTCGGGCTGGTCCTTAATACGCCCAAGAGTTGTGAGCGTGTTGTGGAGCCACCAGCCCGCACAGCGTGTCGGGCTGGTCCTTAATACGCCCAAGAGTTGTGAGCGTGTTGTGGAGCCACCAGCCCGCACAGCGTGTCGGGCTGGTCCTTAATACGCCCAAGAGTTGTGAGCGTGTTGTGGAGCCACCAGCCCGCACAGCGTGTCGGGCTGGTCCTTAATACGCCCAAGAGTTGTGAGCGTGTTGTGGAGCCACCAGCCCGCACAGCGTGTCGGGCTGGTCCTTAATACGCCCAAGAGTTGTGAGCGTGTTGTGGAGCCACCAGCCCGCACAGCGTGTCGGGCTGGTCCTTAATACGCCCAAGAGTTGTGAGCGTGTTGTGGAGCCACCAGCCCGCACAGCGTGTCGGGCTGGTCCTTAATACGCCCAAGAGTTGTGAGCGTGTTGTGGAGCCACCAGCCCGCACAGCGTGTCGGGCAGGTCCTTAATACGCCCAAGAGTTGTGAGCGTGTTGTGGAGCCACCAGCCCGCGCAGCGTGTCGGGCTGGTCCTTAATACGCCCAAGAGTTGTGAGCGTGTTGTGGAGCCACCAGCCCGCGCAGCGTGTCGGGCTGGTCCTTAATACGCCCAAGAGTTGTGAGCGTGTTGTGGAGCCACCAGCCCGCACAGCGTGTCGGGCTGGTCCTTAATACGCCCAAGAGTTGTGAGCGTGTTGTGGAGCCACCAGCCCGCACAGCGTGTCGGGCTGGTCCTTAATACGCCCTGCTGGACCACCCGCCAAATCGTTTAACAACCAGGTACCATTACTGCTGGGTGAACAGAGGCAACAGTTAGGGATTGGCTCCCAGTCAATCCTTCACGGCCAGAATACGAACCCAGGCTAAATCGTTGACGAAAGAGTCGTACCACTGCGCCACGGTGACTTTTTAAGCAAGGTCAACTAGGGATAGTGATTGGAAGATGAGGTGAGTGGTCAGGGCCAGTATGGCTCATCCACGTATGACTGCTTGCAGTAAACTCGACCTTCTTGCCCATAACTTTATTATTATTACATTGGGGGAAAACAAGTATATATTATTGCTTATATGGTTATACACAATAGTTTATATATATATATATATTGACTGGTTAGTTTCTTACTTAGAGTAGGGTTATTTATGCCCCCGACCCGTGCCCCCGACCCATGCCCCCGACCCATGCCCCCGACCCATGCCCCCGACCCATGCCCCCGACCCATGCACCCGACCCATGCCCCCGACCCATGCACCCGACCCATGCACCCGACCCATGCCCCCGACCCATGCCCCCGACCCATGCACCCGACCCATGCACCCGACCCATGCCCCCGACCCATGCACCCGACCCATGCCCCCGACCCATGCTCCCGACCCATGCCTCAGACCCAGTCCCCCGACTCATGCCCCCGTCCCATATCTCCGACCCATGCTCCCGACCCATGTTCCCGACTCATGCCCCCGACCCATGCCCCAGACCCATGCCCCCGACCCATGACCCCGACCCATGCTCCCGACTCATGCCCCCAACCCATGTCCCCGACCCATGCCCCCGACCCATGCCCCCGACCCATGCCCCCGACCCATGCCCCCGACCCATGCCCCCGTCCCATATCTCCGACCCATGCTCCCGACTCATATTCCCGACCCATGCCCCCGACCCATGCCCCCGACCCATATCCCCGACCCATGCCCCCGACCCATGCCCCCGACCCATGCCCCCGACCCATATCCCCGACCCATGCCCCCGACCCATGCCCCCGACCCATGCCCCCGACCCATGCCTCTCTTCTAAAGCCACTTCTCTAACACCCCCCCCCCCCAGCCGCGCCATGCAGTCTGGGACCTTGAAGGCGCCTCTCCCCTCACCCGCCCCCAGATGTGTATGGCCAGGTCCTCTCCCCTCACCCGCCCCCAGATGTGTGTGGCCAGGTCCTCTCCCCTCACCCGCCCCCAGATGTGTGTGGCCAGGTCCTCTCCCCTCACCCGCCCCCAGATGTGTGTGGCCAGGTCCTCTCCCCTCACCCGTCCCCAGATGTGTGTGGCCAGGTCCTCTCCCCTCACTTGTCCCCAGATGTGTGTGGCCAGGTCCTCTCCCCTCACCCGCCCCCTGATGTGTGTGGCCAGGTCCTCTCCCCTCACCCGCCCCCAGATGTGTGTGGCCAGGTCCTCTCCCCTCACCCGCCCCCAGATGTGGCTGGCCACGTCCTCTCCCCTCACCCGCCCCCAGATGTGGCTGGCCAGGTCCTCTCCCCTCACCCGTCCCCAGATGTGGCTGGCCAGGTCCTCTCCCCTCACCCGTCCCTAGATGTGGCTGGCCAGGTCCTCTCCCCTCACCCGTCCCCAGATGTGGCTGGCCAGGTCCTCTCCCCTCACCCGTCCCCAGATGTGGCTGGCCAGGTCCTCTCCCCTCACCCGCCCCCAGATGTGTGTGGCCAGGTCCTCTCCCCTCACCCGCCCCCAGATGTGTGTGGCCAGGTCCTCTCCCCTCACCCGCCCCCAGATGTGGCTGGCCAGGTCCTCTCCCCTCACCCGCCCCAGATGTGTGTGGCCAGGTCCTCTCCCCTCACCCGCCCCCAGATGTGGCTGGCCAGGTCCTCTCCCCTCACCCGCCCCCAGATGTGGCTGGCCAGGTCCTCTCCCCTCACCCGCCCCCAGATGTGTGTGGCCAGGTCCTCTCCCCTCACCCGCCCCCAGATGTGTGTGGCCAGGTCCTCTCCCCTCACATGCGGGGGGAGAAGGTAGAGACACACCTGGAGTAACTGGGTGTGACACTCTCAGTGGGACAAGAACATCGCCGTGGCTGCTGAACCAAAAGGCAAAAGTTCTTTTCATTCGTTCTGTAAATTTTGAATCAAATGCTGGAGAGAGGAAGTGTGACAGGATGCCGGTAAAAGGGAAATGTAATGTCAATATCAATAGACAGAAGACAGACTACAGGCACTTAATTACAGACTGGGTCATAGGTAACCATTCCATGTAAACTGCTGGAGAAAGTTGTGAGGTTGAGAGTGGTGGAGCATGTGGAGAGGATTGACTGTGTAACCAAAGGTCAACATGGATTTACAGAAGTAAATTCCTGCCGGACGAACTTGATACAACACCCCAGAGACCCTACAACACCCCAGAGACCCTACAACACCCCAGAGACCCTACAACACCCCAGAGACCCTACAACACCCCAGAGACTCTACAACACCCCAGAGACCCTACAACACCCCAGAGACCCTACAACACCCCAGAGACCCTACAACACCCCAGAGACCATACAACACACCAGAGACCCTACAACACCCCAGAGACCCTACAACACCCCAGAGACAACTACAACACCCAGAGACCCTACAACACCCCAGAGACCCTACAACACCCCAGAGACCCTACAACACCCCAGAGACCCTACAACACCCCAGAGACCCTACAACACCCCAGAGACCCTACAACACCCCAGAGACCCTACAACACCCCAGAGACCCTACAACACCCCAGAGACCCTACAACACCCCAGAGAGTGTACAACACCCCAGAGAGTGTACAACACCCCAGAGAGTGTACAACACCCCAGAGAGTGTACAACACCCCAGAGAGTGTACAACACCCCAGAGAGTGTACAACACCCCAGAGAGTGTACAACACCCCAGAGAGTGTACAACACCCCAGAGACTGTACAACACCCCAGAGACCCTACAACACCCCAGAGACCCTACAACACCCCAGAGACCCTACAACACCCCAGAGACCCTACAACACCCCAGAGACCCTACAACACCCCACAGACCCTACAACACCCAGAGACCCTACAACACCCCAGAGAGTGTACAACACCCAGAGACCCTACAACACCCCAGAGACCCTACAACACCCCAGAGACCCTACAACACCCCAGAGACCCTACAACACCCCAGAGACCCTACAACACCCCAGAGACCCTACAACACCCCAGAGACCCTACAACACCCCAGAGACCCTACAACCCCCAGAGACCCTACAACACCCCAGAGACCCTACAACACCCCAGAGACCCTACAACACCCCAGAGACCCTACAACACCCCAGAGACCCTACAACACCCTAGAGACCCTACAACACCCCAGAGACTCTACAACACCCCAGAGACCCTACAACACCCCTGAGACCCTACAAGACCCCAGAGACCCTACACCCCCCAGAGACCCTACAAGACCCCAGAGACCCTACAACACCAAAGAGACCCTACAACCCCCCAGAAACCCTACAACACCCCAGAGACCCTACAACACCCCAGAGACCCTACAACACCTCAGAGACCCTACAACACCCAGAGACCCTACAACACCCAGAGACCCTAGAGACCCCTACCTACAACACCCCAGAGACCCTACAACACCCCAGAGACCCTACAACACCCCAGAGACCCTACAACACCCCAGAGACCCTACAACACCCCAGAGACCCTACAACACCCCAGAGACCCTACAACACCCCAGAGACCCTACAACACCCCAGAGACCCTACAACACCCAGAGACCCTACAACACCCCAGAGACCCACAACACCCCAGAGACCCTACAACACCCCAGAGACCCTACAACACCCCAGAGACCCTACAACACCCCAGAGACCCTACAACACCCCAGAGACCCTACAACACCCCAGAGACCCTACAACACCCCAGAGACCCTACAACACCCCAGAGACCATACAACACCCCAGAGACCCTACAACACCCCAGAGACCCTACAACACCCCAGAGACCCTACAACACCCCAGAGACCCTACAACACCCCAGAGAGAACACCCCAGAGACCTACAACACCCCAGAGACCCTACAACACCCAGAGACCCTACAACACCCCAGAGACCCTACAACACCCCAGAGACCCTACAACACCCCAGAGACCCTACAACACCCCAGAGACCCTACAACACCCCAGAGACCCTACAACACCCCAGAGAGTACAACACCCCAGAGACCCTACAACACCCCAGAGACCCTACAACACCCCAGAGACCCTACAACACCCCAGAGACCCTACAACACCCCAGAGACCCTACAACACCCCAGAGACACCCCAGAGACCTACAACACCCCAGAGACCATACAACACCACAGAGACCCTACAACACCCCAGAGACCCAACAACACCCCAGAGACCCTACAACACCCTAGAGACCCTACAACACCCCAGAGACCCTACAACACCCCAGAGACCCTACAACACCCCAGAGACCCTACAACACCCCAGAGACCCTACAACACCCCAGAGACCCTACAACACCCCAGAGACCCTACAACACCCCAGAGACCCTACAACACCCCAGAGACCCTACAACACCCCAGAGACCCTACAACACCCCAGAGACCCTACAACACCCCAGAGACCCTACAACACCCCAGAGACCCTACAACACCCCAGAGACCCTACAACACCCCAGAGACCCTACAACACCCCAGAGACCCTACAACACCCCAGAGACCCTACAACACCCCAGAGACCCTACAACACCCCAGAGACCCTACAACACCCCAGAGACCCTACAACACCCCAGAGACCCTACAACACCCCAGAGACCCTACAACACCCCAGAGACCCTACAACACCCCAGAGTACTACAACACCCCAGAGACCCTACAACACCCCAGAGACCCTACAACACCCCAGAGACCCTACAAAACCCCAGAGACCCTACAACACCCCAGAGACCCAACAACACCCCAGAGACCATACAACACCCCAGAGACCCTGTACAGAGACCCTACAACCCCAGAGACCCTACAACACCCCAGAGACCCTACAACACCCCAGAGACCCTACAACACCCCAGAGACCCTACAACACCCAGAGACCATACAACACCCCAGAGACCCTGCAACATCCCAGAGACTCTACAACACCAAAGATGACCCTACAATACCCCAGAGACTCTACAACACCCCAGGGACCCTACAACACCCCAGAGACTCTACAACACCCCAGAGACCCTACAACACCCCAGATACCCTACAACCTCCCAGAGACCATACAACACCCATAGAGACCCTACAACACCCCAGAGACCCTACAACACCCCAGAGACCATACAACACCCCAGAGACCCTACAACACCCCAGAGAACCTACAACACCCCAGAGACCCTACAACACCCAGAGAGACACCACAACACAACCCAGAGACCCTACAACACCCCAGAGACCCCACACCCCAGACCCTACAACACCCCAGAGACCCTACAACACCCCAGAGACCCTACAACACCCCAGAGACCATACAACACCCCAGAGACCCTACAACACCCCAGAGACCCTACAACACCCCAGAGACCCTACAACACCCCAGAGACCCTACAACACCCCAGAGACCCTACAACACCCCAGAGACCCTACAACACCCCAGAGACCCTACAACACCCTAGAGACCCTACAACACCCCAGAGACCCTACAACACCCAGAGACCCTACAACACCCCAGAGACCCTACAACACCCCAGAGACCCTACAACACCCCTGAGACCCTACAAGACCCCAGAGACCCTACACCACCCAGAGACCCTACAAGACCCCAGAGACCCTACAACACCAAAGAGACCCTACAACCCCCCAGAAACCCTACAACACCCCAGAGACCCTACAACACCCCAGAGACCCTACAACACCCCAGAGACCCTACAACACCCCAGAGACCCTACAACACCCCAGAGACCCTACAACACCCCAGAGACCCTACAACACCCCAGAGACCCTACAACACCCCAGAGACCCTACAACACCCCAGAGAC